CGAACTGTGACTACGAGAGTTCCTCGTGACGAACCAACGAAAAACTTGGATATATATAGAATTATGTAAATATAGAATTATGTAAAAAGTTCAATTTTTTTTATTTCAGTTCAGGGAAAACATTCTGTTTAGCTGGTCAATATTATTGTTTCACATTTTTAAACATTATTTTAATCAATTTGTAAACAGCAACATAACAGCTTGGTACTTACACAGAGAAATCAATATCAGTTGCCGAACATATTTTCACCCAGGAGAAAACCGATTTTACAAAGTAGTTTAATTCTTGTCCTCTGAATTCAATGAATGTGCAGTAAAATACTATTTACATTACCTTGTTTGCAAAAAGACCGCAGTTCTCCGAACTTTCCAAATGACTCACGAAAAGCTACGGATTTTTTGCCTTTCTTTGTTGACCTACTAAAGATTAAATGAGTATCACTCGGTAATGATTGAGAGGCATACATGAAAATTAATCCAAAAAATGTGATACGTTTTACTTGAAATGAAACGTAAGGGAAAAAAATTAAACCTTTGTCCGGTCCAAGTTTCCACAGTGTGGGACTCGTCCACAATTATTGCAGTAAGGTTTTGGTGCAATGGTGAAGTGCTCTTTTTCAGGGAAGAGAGAAAAGGCTTCGCTAGTATTTCTTCTGCGGACGCAAATATCAGTTGGTATTTGCCGTTTTCAACATCTTGTAAACTAGCACCAGCCAGGGATGTCGCCGTCAAACCCATTAAAGATGCTTCCGCCAGCTGATCTTGGACGATGCTTTTGAGCGGACAGACAACAATCACACACGCAGCTTTCAACCATAATATTTGCCACACGCGGATCAACAACTGGAAGATGAGGCTTTTACCAGAGCCCGTCGGAAGAACTGCTAGTAAATCCCTTCTAGGAACAAGAGAAGAAATGGCTTCCTTTTGTTCCGGGCGTAATACAAGCGACATACCCAGCTCAGAGAGAAATAAAAGCGCTTCTACGAGAGCGGCATCAAAGCTTAGCGTATCCGCCATTTTCTCTCCAAATCACTCCCGCTCCCAATCGCGGAACGACCGGAAGAAAAGTACTTTAGATGACAGGCATCAATCCAGTTTCAACCTACCGCACCAATCAGAGGCCCCGTCCATCTGGTGTACGGGTTTTGCAAAATCACAGGCTTTGCGGGCAGGCGTGTTTTTTCCTTCCCCTCCCTCTCCCCCGTTGCCCATTTTTCCACTTAACACCTACTCCCTCGGCAAATATTTCCTCGCCCCAATCCTCCAGAGTTACCAAATCTAAGATAGCGGCAATAGCGGCCTAATACGAAAATGTGCACTCGTGCGCCCAAAATACGCCGGCACTGCAGGCTATGTCGAGAGAAACTTCTCTGTTAATTTTACCATTTTGCTTTCTACAAAATCGATCGTAGCGGTGATTCTCTTTAACGAAAGTGAGTAGTAGAGAAGGATTAAGTCGTTGATAAAGATTTTGAAACATCTAAGAGAGGTGATGTTCTTTGCTTCTCTTTTGCATTTTCGGAAACTTTAATGTTAAATTAATGAGACATGCCTGTCAACAAATAGAACATCTACATGAAAGTACTGCAATGACTTATGCAAAAAATCTCAGTTTCAGTAACATATGTTTGTTTTTTTGAAAAAGTAAGCCTGAAATTTCAAGCATTTCCAAGCTTTCTTTCTTTTCTCTGATATAACGGCATACAATTTTACCATGAGTAATAGCTGCCCCCAAGAGCATCTCAGCAGTGCAGCATCCATCTTTCTCTCAGTGTGGCTGTCCTTGTTCAGTTTTGCAGCTGTAACAGGAAACGCAGTTATTTTGTGGTTATTCTACAAACACGAGTCTTTAACAACAATTTCCAACCGTTTTTTCGCCTCTTTGTCAATAGCAGACCTTTTAGTTGGGCTTGTTGAAGGTCCTGTGTGGATCGTCATCACATGTTGGATTAATCCTCCACTTTACACAGGTTGTCTGCCTTTGCATTCATTTTGTGGGGTCACACAACCGCCGCTACCACTTTCGACATTTCTTGTGTTTCTGTCGACCGGCTTATTGCGATTCGGCTTCCTTTCCGCTATCAAGACATTATAACCAAGAAAAGATGTTACACAGTGATTATTTTGGTATGGCTTTTTTCTTTAGCTATTTCTTTCTCGATGTTATTAGTAAAGCTCTCGTCGGAAGAAGACGATGAAAAAAGATACTTTGTTCTGCAGTGGATTTGTTTTGCATTTATAACATTTGTTATTCGATCACTTGCAGTTTCAATTTCCTACTTTTCTATTTTTAAATCAGCAAAAAAAAATTTTCAAAGAATATTAGCAGGAGAAAATCATACAAAATGCGACGACAGTTTGGGAGTTCGTACAATACAAAACCTTAAAGCTATCAAAACAATTGGTTTTGTTTTGGGTGCTTGTATTATCACATGGATACCCAGTTTAGTTTTGCTGCTTGTTGATTGCCATTATGCCTTGGAAAAAAACTGGGGCAAAATTTGTTTATTGTACCGTGTTGCGTGAACCTGGGCTGCGACAATCGCTTTTACTTTATCAGCAATCAATCCATTTATTTATTACTTTCGAAATGAAGAGTTTCGCCGAGCCTTTCGCCGTACTCCTTTCGACGGTTGCCCTGTGGACACACCGGGGAATGCACACAACAAACAGGACTTAAACCAAGTCAAAACCCGATGGTAGGAAATGGTTTGAGATCTGGGGATGTAGCGATTGAGGAGACTAAGCTTTGAGGAAAAAATAACTTGAAGCAAGACTTTGCCTCCCATCGAGAGATGATGTAGAAACT